TGGCGCGCAGCTCGGGTTTGGCTTTCTCCAGCGACAAAAAAACATATCGTAGTGCGGCGAGTCTCCAGTAGCGGAACATCCTGACGCTGTTTTAATAAAGAGAACACCTGGTGAACGCTGAACTTACCACCAATCAATAGGGTCAAATCCAACAATTGAAGACTCGATCAGCTCTTGGGTAACGTCTCTCAACATGTGAGATGTTGGGGAACCTGGAAAAACTGCTGCCCGAAGCTCCAGTCTTGCGGAGCCCTCTTGTTTGACTTCGGCTTCATGACCAGCGCAGGTGTCGTAGAGTACACCAAGTGACTCAACATCTGATAAGAATGACTTCAAGCGGTGGGGTAGAAGGTCCTGGGCTCTGTGTCGGCGAAATTGGCCTGGATGAATCTGATATGTCGCACACTTGTCTGTTGTGTAAACGTTGACATATTTTACATGGTCGTCGGCACCAAGTGTGGGTACCTCGACGCGGAATCCGGACAGGTCATAGAGCAGAGAACAGACATCCTTCTTGAAATGTCTTCCCTCGATGGTCTGCGAAATTTCCTCCACTGATGGGGTTGGCAGAGCATACTCCAGTACCTTTTGATGACTGTCAGTACGCCATTGCAGCGCTAGGCCCGGTGCATGGATCTCCACTCCAACATCAATGTACCACTGGGACATGGGGGTTTGAAGCATCTGGCCCGTCTCGAATGTTGCGAAGGCATCATCGAAAGCGTCGTCACAGTCTTGTGGGTTGGCTGCGCTGTGAATGGTTCTCCCCTTGATTCCTCGTAGTTCGTGCACGAAGAAGCTGTCGCGGAAGACCGGGTGGTTGTTCAAGTTGGTGCGGAGAGTTGTTGCAAAGTCGTGCAACTTGCGGTGAGGTATGTTCCGGGTCGTGAAGTGGAACTGTTTTCGCATATCCCGCATGGACATTAGGCATGCTTCATAATTAACGGGCCAATGAGCGATGGACTTTGGCTCAACAGCTACAACCGTTGGCCTGATGCAGGAGTCATATAGGAGAGCCATTTCCTCTTTGCTGACGCGAGGAACGCCTTCTGGCTTGTACATATGAGGGAAAAAAATCATCGTCTTCTGCCGATGACCGGCGGTGCCTAGGCATACGTTTGGAATTCGATGAAGGTCAATCTGGCGCAAATGGTCCCAGTGCTGGTGTTAACGCGTTATATAAACGTTTTCCAATCTACGTCTGATCACTTACAGCCAATCGAATTGTTTTCTTCAGATGATTTGACTTTAGTAGGCTGTCTCTGAAGTTTGCCGCTGGGTAAACCGCCAACGAGGTCCGCAAGGGGATGTTTGTGGTGATTCCGATAATGGAGTCGAAGTCTCTGGTAACCGCGATGTTGTCGATATCGGCAGGGGACACGCAGTCCTTGAAGACGTTTATATTCAGACGTCTTTCTCCCGCGGCCGTCTTTTTACGTCCTGCCAGCACAAGCCTGACAAAATCGGGGACTGTGAGGCGTCCTGTCAACATTTCCTTGGCGAGCTCCACAAATTCCTGCATAGATAATGTTTCCGTCGGTAACTGCTCGTCAGGATATGGCGGCATGGTGAGTGGTGAGTCGTTGGCTGCCTTCAGGGTGTCGGATACTGTATATATCTGCAAGACACAGCGCTTTTGTGGCTGACGGTTTGGCTGATTTGCAAATTTTGACCGTACAGCTTCATGATAGTCCCCACCTGATACCACATGCGCAGTTGCACAGATCTTAGGTGGGCTCGGGGCAGCCGCCAGTGGCGGCTTGACGCTGCTGTTACCAACGTTAACTTTATTTGCGGATCGCGCTACGGGAGGGTGTGGTCGCCACCGGCGACCATGGGCAAGAGCGAGCATCTAAAGTAATACTGCTTTCGACTCACTAGCACTGGCCGCTAGTGATGTGTGGGCCCGGCTTGGGCTCAAAGCCCGGGCTTGCCAAGCTTAGGACAAGTACTTATATGCTACGAAAGTGAGCATATTTGTATGTGATAGGCTGCTATTGCATGTACCCACCGTACTGCAGCCTCCAGTGGGCATGCAATCGTGCTACAAGCCATGTTAGGACAAGGTTCGCGGAGGGGCGTCTACGGCGAATGCCAGGCGGTGGCACACAATCGTGCCTAGCCACACTAGCAGGGACCGCCCAGTCTGGTAAGTCAACGTTTTGTCTCGTATGTGTATACAAAGTCGTTCTTACCTTGTTTTGAATCCAGAGAACGGCAACACATTTGGTGCAACCCAAGCCTGGGCTTTCGGGCCGGGTTGGGCTTGACTACGCTCCGAGCCCGGCCTTGAGCCCGCTGCCAGACTTGGCTCGGGTCAGGCTTTTTGGGCCGGGCTTGGCGGGCTTGCGGGCCCGACCCGCACATGACTACTGGCCGCCACTGGCGACCACTTCGATGAATTGCCGTTGCTGTGCGCGGGTCCAGCGCATGGGAGGCGTAACCGGAGAAATATGTTAACGTGCTCCATCGTCACTGTCGAGCAATTTCTGTTCGCATGCAGGGGAGCCGCCGCTGGCGGGCAGGTTTAGTTCACGTCTGCACGCCTCTATATAACAACTGTCATAACAACAGTCATAACGATGTGAACAATAATTCAACAACACCATTTTATGTAAAACGAGCGAGAACTCAAAAACATTAGCACGATATCAAATAATGCTGACCAGCTTAGCGGCACACGAGGGCCGCCGCTGGCGGGCAGGTTTAACTTGTCTTGGAGTACGCATTTCTACGCACAGTTGTAGTGCCCGTCATAATCACAAACTATCACCACCACCGCAACGCAAATGATACTATAAAATCGACCAATACCCTATACGGCAACATCGGCAAGATATAGCAATCCAAATTTGGCACATGTTTTGTAATTTCAAATCATATCTACCAACGGCTCGCTGTTTTCGTGGTACAAGCACACGTGTGCTCTATCCAAGTAGTCAGTACTGGCACTCGTACTGTCTGATCGCATCTACCCGATCATCATCTGAGACTGAACCTCTTCATGGTCTCTGGTCCCTTGACATATTGTGGATTTGCCGCAATGAAAGGGCTGGATTCATTTTTTTCTTCTGGAAGCGCTATACACCCTGCCATGGGTTCTTTTCTCGTTGCCCACATCGCTCCTTTCTCCGTTCGAGGCAGCCAGAGAAACTGGGATACCTCGTTCCTCATCAGCATGACGACGAGAGAGGCGTTGTCATCGTCGAGTCGATTAAGCAACGTTGTCCAAGCTTTGAAGTAAGTGCAGGCAGGGTAGGCGGTGGTACTGGCCGAGGCCATATGAGCTTTCCCAGGTAGCAGATTTTTGACGACAGTATCCCAGACCGTCTCCGAGCAATGAAGAACTCGAGCAGATATGAAAGGTAGGTCGAAGTGGAAGTATAGCTCTGGAGAGACGGCTGTGATCTCAGCGAGTCCCAAGGTGGTATAGGCGCCTCCTCCTCCTCGTCTGTTCGGCGATTTGTTCATAATGTCATGCGCAAGTTGGCGATACATTCGATTGAGTACCTCGACAAGACTGCCCTTTAACATGTCGTTGTCCTTGTCGTATCTGGAGACAGGCACTCCGCGAGTGTCCCGACCCCTGCGCGTTGCCGGCTGTATGGGTTGAATGTCGAGCTCTGCAATATTGTCGAACGTCAACTCTGCACCTAGGGGCCTTTTCGACACCGCGTCAGCGAGAAGAGTGTCCTTTCCTTTGTGTAAGCGACGGTTGGTTCGATAGTTGAGCCTGACCAGTTTAGTTCGATGGGAACCGAGGTGGAATTGTCGACGCAAGTGGCTTGCCGACTCTTGCCGATATATGACGATAAGCAGCTCTTCACTCAGTTTGATCCTCTTCGGGACTCGATAGAACCACGTATTCGGTTGGTCTCCGATAGAATTCTGGATAACGTCCGCAACGAAGTAGGCCCCTCGCTCTTCGATCCATGGTTTGGAGTTGCCTGCATTCTACTCTTCTTTTGGAGGGGGGTTGGTGGTTAAAATGTGGGTTGTGTGATTAAAAATTTGCAAGCACTGTGAAAAGAGTAAAATGCACTCTGGAGAGCACTTTCAGATGTAAATACTGTCAAATGGCAATATTCAGTGGCCAACAAGAAAAATACCTGATCGCGCAGTGGCGCGCGATCAGGAAAGACATCATATTGTAGATACCCATATGAAGCAATACTGTGTAATGAAACAGTAATGTGTTAAAAACCCGATCGTGCAGCAGCGCGCGATCAGGAAAAACATCATATTGTAGACACTCATATGGAGCAATACCATGTGATGAAACAGTATTGTGTTAAAAACCCGATCGTGCAGCAGCGCGCGATCAGGAAAAACATCATATTGTAGACACTCATATGAGGCAATACCATGTGATGAAACAGTATTGTGTTAAAAATCCGATCGTGCAGCGGCGCGCGATCAGGAAAAACATCATATTGTAGACACTCATATAAAGCAATGCTGTGTGGTGAAACAGTATTGTGTTAATAACCCAATTGTGCAGTGGCATGCAATATCATGCGTCAAATTAAGTTGACACCTAATAAGGGCAAACAGAGACAAATACTGGGCAGACAGCAAAGCATGAGTTACCCAGACAGGCCCTGATGGCCCTGATAGAAGCTACTAGACCCAGGCCTGCAAAATAGGAGCTACCGTTTGAAAAGAGAAAAAATTGGCATTTGGGCCCCTAAAAATCTGGTGCCCTGGAAAGAGTGGGCGAGACCTTTGGAGCAAGCCAGAACTGGGGCCAGAACACCTAGAAGCTATTCAGAAAGGCTTGGTATTTGTCAGGAATTTGTCAGAACTTAGCTAGGACAAATTCTAATCTTCTTTTAGAGGGGGGTTGGTGGTTAAAATGTGGGTTGTGTGATTAAAAATCTGCAAGCACTGTGAAAAGAGTCAAATGCACTCTGGAGAGCACTTTCAGATGTAAATACTGTCAAATGGCAATATTCAGTGACTCACAAGAAAAATACCTGATCGCGCAGTGGCGTGCGATTAGGAAATATATCATGTTGTAAATACTCATATAAAGCAATACCATGTAATGAAACAGTATTGTGTTAAAAACCTGATCGTGCAGCGGCGCGCGATCAGGAAAAACATCATATTGTAAACACTGATATGAAGCAATACCATGTGATGAAGCAGTATTGTGTTAAAAACCCGATCGTGCAGCAGCGCGCGATCAGGAAAAATATCATATTGTGGACACTGATATGAAGCAATACCATGTGATGAAGCAGTATTATGTTAAAAACCCGATCGTGCAGCAGCGCGCGATCAGGAAAAACATCATATTGTAGACACTGATACAAAGCAATACCATGTGATAAAATAGTATTATGTTAAAAACCCGATTGTGCAGCAGCGCGCAATCAGGAAAAATATCATATTGTAGACACTGATATCAAGCAATACTATATAATGAAACAGCATTGTGTTAATAACCCAATCATGCAGCAGCGCGCAATCAGGAAACACATTGTATTGTAGACACTCATATAAAGTAATACTGTGTAATGAAACAGTATTGTGTTAATAACCCAATCATGCAGTGGCGCATGATCAGGAAGAACATGCTACAGACACTCGTATAAAGTGATACCATGTGATGAGGTGGTATTCTGTTAATAACCCAATCATGCAGTAGCGTTCAATTAGAGAAAACATCATATTGTAGACATATATAAAGCAATATCATGTGATAAAACAGTATTGTGTTAATAATCTGATTGTGCAGTGGCATGCAATCAGAAAAGGCATCATATTGAAGCCATAGGCTTATGTCTAAAGAATCAAACTGCACAGAGTTCTTGACTGTTTGATGCACCAGAACCAACAGAACTGGCAGGGCTCCATTGGGTGCCTGCCCAGTAGCAATGCCAGACAGCTGCTGAAAGCATCCTTCTTCTTTGGGAAACGGCACAATGGCATGTAGCGTATGCAGTGCTGGGGTTTGGCAAATATGCTA